GGGGGGGGGGGGGGCACACACTCCATACTGTTTTTTTTATTATTGTTATTCATTTCACGTTTGAAAAAAAACTCCATCCAAATAGATCTCAATTCTGAAAACGAGAACTTCGGATCGACTCCGAATTCCTGACGGATCCGAATTTCAGTAACCTAAAAAAATAATCCGCTGCTGTGCAGAAGTTTACTACAGGGTCTGCGCTTTCAGAAAATATATAAATGTGTATTATAAAGTGTGCAAAAAAAAAAAAAAAAGCAAAAACCGCCTTGGCAGTGAAAGGGTTAAAAAGCACCTTTCCTGGTGAGGGACCCCGCTGCGTCACATGACCCTCCCCGCCAGTCCTTATCCTTCAAACACAGGCAGCCCCTGGCCATGGAAGATAAGGGACGGGTGGGATGGTGGTGATGCCGTCCGCCGCCGTGCTCTACCGCCTTCCAGCACCGACCATGCATGACCATGTGGTCTGCACCGCCGGCACACACCGGTCAGGGCTCATTACTGGCAGTGAGCACTTTGGTAAAGTCACCCTGGCTGCCCATGTGACTCAGGGGCACTCAGCTGCGGTGCATGGTGGTACATGGGGGGAGGGTGCACATGGCACGACGCCACACTCACCTGAACGCAAAGTCCGTCCGATCAACCGCAAGGAGGACCAATTACACCGCGACCGCAGCAGAACGTCCGTCCAAGTCACAGAGCCTGCTACAGGGGGGAGTGTGACAGTCTGCTAGGAAAGAACTGTACAGGAGGGGGGCGGAGCCTCACAAGTCATGTGACGGATCACATGACCAGGTGGGGAGCCTTGGGATTAACCACTTCCCGCCCGGAGCAATTTCTTCACTCTTGCATAACATCCGAAAACGGCTTCGGAACCCCCGAACAATGATATATTTTCTGAAAGCCGAGGCCCCGGAGAATGTAAAAATGGCACTTGTAGTTGTTTATGTCGCACGGTATTTGAGCAAATGTTTATCAAACCCGTATATTTAGGATAAAATGAAATGAAGTGCACAGAAATAGAACATAATACACAATTTCTGGGGGTAGAATATAAAAGTCGGCGTCACGCCGGATCAACAGACACCAAACATGTCATGACTTTCAAATTGCGGCGCCCGTGAAATGGTTAAAAAAAAAAACCCCACACAGTCTTGTAGTTTATAACGCGTGAGATCATTTGAAGGAATTTAGTTGATTTCAGTTTGCGGTGGAGCGGCTTCTTTTTATGATCATTCGTACATTCGGCCGGTTCCATTCGGGCTTCATGTTATATTATTACTATGGAGTGTTGTTTATTGATACTTGCTGGCGAGCTGCCGAACAAGCCCTTTGGGTGGAGCAGGTTCATTTCATGCTCATGTTTGCATGTAGCCAGGCTGGGAGGGGCATGTAGCCAGACTGAGAGGGGCATGTAGCCAGTCTGGGAGGGGCATGGAGCCAGGCTGAGCGGGCCATGTAGCCAGTCTGGGAGGGGCATGGAGCCAGGCTGTGAGGGGCATGTAGCCAGGCTGGGAGGGGCATGTAGCCAGGCTGAGAGGGGCATGTAGCCAGACTGAGAGGGGCATGTAGCCAGGCTGGGAGGGGCATGTAGCCAGACTGAGAGGGGCATGTAGCCAGGCTGGGAGGGGCATGTAGCCAGGCTGAGAGGGGCATGTAGCCAGGCTGAGCGGGCCATGGAGCCAGCCTGGGAGGGGCATGGAGCCAGTCTGGGAGGAGCATGGAGCCAGTCTGGGAGGAGCATGGAGCCAGGCTGTGAAGGGCATGTAGCCAGGCTGGGAGGGGCATGGAGCCAGCCTGGGAGGGGCATGGAGCCAGTCTGGGAGGAGCATGGAGCCAGGCTGTGAAGGGCATGTAGCCAGGCTGGGAGGGGCATGAAGCCAGGCTGGGAGGGGCATGTAGCCAGGCTGAGAGGGGCATGTAGTTAGGCTGAGAGGGGCGTGTAGATAGGCTGGGAGGAGCATGTAGCCAGGCTGGGAGGAGCATGTAGCCAGGCTGGGAGGAGCGTGTAGCCAGGCTGGGAGGAGCGTGTAGCCAGGCTGGGAGGGGCGTGTAGATAGGCTGAGAGGGGCGTGTAGATAGGCTGAGAGGGGCATGTAGATAGGCTGAGAGGGGCATGTAGATAGGCTGTGAGGGGCATGTAGATAGGCTGAGAGGAGCGTGTAGATAGGCTGAGAGGGGCGTGTAGATAGGCTGTGAGGGGCATGTAGATAGGCTGAGAGGGGCGTGTAGATAGGCTGAGAGGGGCGTGTAGATAGGCTGAGAGGGGCGTGTAGATAGGCTGAGAGGGGCGTGTAGATAGGCTGAGAGGGGCGTGTAGATAGGCTGAGAGGGGCGTGTAGATAGGCTGAGAGGGGCGTGTAGATAGGCTGGGAGGAGCATGTAGCCAGGCTGGGAGGGGCATGTAGCCAGTCTGGGAGGGGCATGTAGCCAGGCTGAGAGGGGCATGTAGCCAGGCTGGGAGGGGCAAGTAGCCAGGCTGTGGGGGGCATGTAGCCAGGCTGACTGAAGGAATGTGGCCACATGCAACCACCAGAGGGAGCTGAGATGCTGCGACAGGCATGGTGAAACGAATGGGAAACGCACTTGTCAATTCATATCCAGCTTTCCAGCAAGGTGCACATGGACGAGCTTTACCCGGAAGGGAGACTGACATTTCCTGGCAGCATCAGACCTCCCAACATCCAGTCACAGGAGGATTTCAGACTCTGCACTTCCATTGCTCTTATCAGTTGTTTGACTCACCCAAATGTCTGGCTCAGTATGTAATGCCAATCTCTGGGGCGTTATGGGAAATGTCCGTCGCCATGTTTGCTCTGCTATCATTTTGGGATTTGTTATAAACACGTTCCCATCTCTATAGAGCAATGTAAGTCTCTGCTGGAGGATCTTGGGGAAGAAGCTCGGCACTCATTGGCTGGTGTTAGTGATGATTTTGGGAATATGGAATGGAGAAGCACAGAGTCTCCATCCTTCATTATCTGAGGACCTGACTGCAAGTGGATAGGAAGCCTCCAAATCCAATGTGTCACAATTGTTTTCCAAAGCCTGAGGTGGTGCTGGGACAAATTCCCAAACATTTCCAAACCTTTCAGTGAGATTTGTAATATGTTGGAAGATAATTAACCAGTTGACATCCGCGGTGTTACACCCCCTTCCCATCCAGACCTTCGGAAAACTGAGCAGTTCGTTATGCTTAGAAAGTCCTTTCATGGGGGCTCGGGGGGCGCTACACATGTATAGCTTACCTTCTACATGTGTCACGTACAGGGGCGTCCCGAGGCGAGGGGTCACCCGGAGTGGGTACTGGGTGACACCCCGTTGTGACGTCATCGCGCATGCACGTGACCTCATTGCACATGCGCGTGATGACGTCATGTGTTGTTACCTGCCAGCGGCCATCTTGGTGATGAACACCGGCAGAGAGAGGAGGGGACGTTCCCTTCTCTCTCGTGCAACTGTCAGGCTCCCTGGTCCATGACCGAGTTCCCAACTTTTCAGAGGAGGTGACACCAAAATGACTGTCAGTCATTTCCAATGGCCCTCCAATTCAATGGTGTCATGCGGGTGTGAGCCGAACCCCCGCACCCCCCTATAGAGGCCACTGGTCATGTACCTGGATGGAGTCCAAGCTGAACATGGGGCTACCCTTGCACCACTTGTCCAACTCCCCTGGAAGTGGTGACAGGAGGAGTAAGGACACAGGGAAGCACAAGTGCCAACGCAGTGGCTGAGCAGATTCGGAACCAGAACTTGAGGGCAATGAGCCAAAAACTGTAATGGCTGGAAGGAGGCAGCAATGTGGAGGTGGAAGATGGGGCAGACACTAGGGTTGCCACCTGTACGGTTTTCACCCGGACAGTCCGGTTCAGTGCCGACACCGGCACTTTAAATTTTCCGACAGATGCAGCTGTTGAGGTCCCCGGCAAGCGTGATCTCGGGCAGGTTTGATAAACATTTGCGCAAATACCGTGCGACGTAAAAAATTGCAACTAGCATTTTTTTTTTATCCTACAGGGCCTCTGCTTTCAGAAAATGTATCATTGTTGGGGGGTCTAAAGCTGTTTTCTAGCCACAAATTCAGATTTTATCATGTGTGTGCGTGTGCGAATAGTAAGAAATTTCTCCGGAGAGGAAGTGGTTAAGTGTCATTTTTAACAAAGTAACAAATGAGCATTTCTCGGGTGATGCAGTTCTGAGGAACGGCCACTAGATGGCGGCAGAGCTCCACCAACACTCTGCTGTCCCCTGCGCTGAGATGTTGTAACATTTGTCTGCATGAAAAATAACTTTGTTTCCAAATTGCAGCAGTCGCCACCTCTCATCTACATCTATAGGGACATTTTAAAGGCATAGTCCAGATAAAGATAAATCCCATAAGTGCACACATTGTAATAAAGGAAAACAAAGGGGCATTTATTATTTTGCATGGTAGCCTGCAGAGTATTGCAACCACGATCAGTATATAGGTAGATACAGAAGGGGGAAGGGTCTCTTTACAGACATTCCCACAAGTGAACCCTCTGTATGTACACAGGGAGGGTGGAGTCCCTCCATAGACTTCGCTCATGGACCGGCACTCTTGGATAGGTGTTTATGGACAGGGGCTCATAGACAGGCTCTTATGGACAGGCCCTCATGGACAAGCCCTCATGGACAGGCTCTCTTGGACAGGCTCTCTTGGACAGGCGCTCATGGAAGGCTCTCATGGACAAGCGCTCATGGACAGGGGCTCATGGACAGGCTCTCATGGACAAGCGCTCATGGACAAGCGCTGATGAAGACGCTCATGGACAGGCGCTCATGGAAGGCTCTCATGGACAGGCGCTCATGGACAAGCGCTCATGGACAGGCGCTCATGGACAGGCGCTCATGGAAGGCTCTCATGGACAGGGGCTCATGGAAGGCTCTCATGGACAGGGGCTCATGGACAAGCGCTCATGGACAGGGGCTCATGGAAGGCTCTCATGGACAGGGGCTCATGGACAAGCGCTCATGGACAGGGGCTCATGGACAGGGGCTCAATGTTTTGCCGGTCACACATTTTTACCCCGGATTTTTACCCCGGAAAAAAAAAATGTGTGATAGAACACTGGAAGAGCGTCGTGTGGGCGGGGACAGGCCGCGCTGTCACAGGAGGCTGAGCTCTCCTCACTTCACGCTTGCTCAGCCTCCTGTGACATTGTGTCAGAGAGGAGAGCGGTACAAACACTCACCGATCGGTGATAATTGAGGACATTAATTAATGTGTACTATATCCTCAATTATGAATGAATAGGAAGTGATCTACATCACTTCCTGTCCATTCATAATTGT